AAAGTCTACATCAAGATTTATTTTCACCTGTAATGGTGGAGTCGTCAACTAAAAGTTTTAAGCAGAGTACTACAACCAATTCAACCACTGAAGTCAAGTACATAGCTGCATCAGGTGTAGCAAAGAAAGCTATTTGGATAAAGAATAGTAGTCTCTGAGTCATAGTTGTCAAGGCAATGCCTAGGCGACAAGGCACCCTTTGAGGCTCGCCTCGCCTAATCGCCAAGCAGTTTTCTACTTCCTACTATAAAGTACTTTTTTATTCATTCTTTTTTGATATTATAATTATAAAATAGACAATATTAAACTAAAATAATCATTTTGTGTGTTTATATACTAATTTGTTTTTATTATTCTTATTTATTAGGGTTTAATCAACACAAACACTGCTAAATGCTGTATTGAACCATCAAAGACTTAAAAAGCTGAACCAATCAGTAAGGAAGAACTTAAAATTTTATCTAATCAGCACATTTTCCTCTTCCATATATTCTTCTTCTTCTACTACTACTACTACCACCAATACTTTTTCTTTTCTTCTTTTCCTATAACAAAAATAAGGGTTCAGCCCCTATATTTTTTGAGTTTTATTTTCCTTCTTTTTCTTCTCATGAATATGTTGATTTTCTATACTTTAATATGAACTTTATACTTTTCTTATGAAAATTATGAATAATTATTAAGGAAATATGGGTATGGTACCTAGGGAACCACCCTAGGATCTATGTTTTTAACATAAAAAAATCCATTGCCTAGCCTCGCCTTGGCGCCTTGAAAACTATGTCTCTGACATTGGCAGAGGCAATGTGGCTGTGCAGAAAATAGCATATGCAAATAAAGTAATAACCTTGCAAATCCACTAAGGCCTTAACTCGGCAAATCCAATTGGAGAATCATCTTGAGAAGATGGGTATGAGATACATGGCAGATTGGCTTTAGTGCAAATGGGTGATTGTTAGTCGTATGCCTTAAAACGAATTTAGTGATAATGTAAAAGGGCAATCTTGTACTATTCATATTTTACTTTAATAGAAATTAGGCAAATTTCATTCATTTCTTTTTGCTTATAATTATATGAGTAGTCCATAGTATCGCCGTCAAGTTGGTATATTCTTAAGTGCTCAGAAATTTGAGATATATTTGTCCTTGGTACAAGATCCTAAAATAGCTCCCAATCATAGGATTATCAAGAGGGTTTTGGTAATCCAGATAATGGCACATATTATTCTTGCCTTACGTGGGTGCTTGTTAGAGAACAATTTCTCTAAAATTGACCCATTAATAGAACAGTTACATGGAATCCATTGTCAATAACCAATTCTATCATCGCAATCATGTAAATGATCCTTAGACCTGAGGCATCATGGATATCTTGTGTATGAGGTGCTACAGTTTGATGATGCACACACTTTTGCCCTAATCAAGGGATTTAAGCATGCACACATTGGCTATAGTGTCTTATGCATGGAGGTATGAGAAAGCACAAAATGAAACCTATCACTCTCCAAGAAGAGGAGAATGTCCTATGCAACTGAGATCAATGTGACTCAAGAAGTCTTTGGCCAAGGCATTATAATTCATGGAAAGAGTTCCAAGTGTCAGCATATGAGTCATCATGAATTGAGTAGGACATATGATTGAGTCAATAGGGTTGGACATATTCACCATGGCCCTTTGCACTTTGGGGACATTGTATGATAGAAGGATCCAATTGCATGGTGACTGTAGAGTGTAGATGGAAAGGTTCAATCTGTCGAGTTCAAACTATTAGGATGGTCATGACATGCTACTAGGTGTCACTCATGATCTATGGAACCCTATTAATAATGATCAATTATTCACATTCAAGGGAGAATTAAAGGAGTCTTAATTCAATTCAAAAGGAAGGAGTTCCATGTAGGATGTTGAAGGGGTTTGGCATCATTTACCACTACCTAATGATATTGAACCTAAGAGGTCACACACACTAAGGGACAAAACGCAGATAATCACTAAGAGGGGTCTTAGTGAAGGGACCTAATTACAATTATGGGAAACTTATGAGATAAGCTCTCCTAACTGCAATAGGAGCCAACCTCTATAAAAGGAGTGCATGGGATGGCCCTAGGTTTTTTGAGACACTTTTTCTGCCTAACTAAAACCCTAATCACTAATAGGATCATTAGCATAATTCCAAGAGCTGCCCAACCACTTCTCCCCAAGGTTCAAAATTTCACAACTTATTGGACCATATCGGTCAATACGTATCGTTCCAGCACAAGTCTGATACACAGAACATATAGAAATCATCTATAGCATTCCTTTTTGTATGTATCAAACAGATACAGGCCTGCATCGGACTGTTTTGGGTCTGTATCGGCCGATACAAGCCCGAAACAGTCCAATACAGGTTGATACAATTAAGTCCCCTCCTCTCTCATTAATTTCATTAAACTATATTTAAGGGTGAATTATCTCTCATTAATTTCGTATTTACTCTTATATTTAAGTATAATTTCTCTCTCTCTCTCTCATTAACTAGTTAATTACTCCTATAATTAATGCATAATTTTAAATTTGAATTCTCCCATTAATTTCGTTAATTAATAATCATCTCTCTCATTAAATTCGTTTTGTTGGTACAAAACTATAAACCTTAGCAATAGCAAGATTTGAACCTTGGCCATTAGGTTCTAACGACCAGAGGTTCACCACTAAGCCACGTTCATTTGCTTGCTATAGGTTTATGCATTTTTCTTTTTAAGTAAATTTTCTCTTTTTCATAGTGTATGCTTCTCAATAAATGTTAGAATTAATTATTAAAATTCATATATCAATAAATATTAAGATAAGTTGTGTTGATCATTTTAAAACTAATGTATAACCATATACATTTTAGTTTTTTTTTTGTTTTTCACATTTTAGTTATTCCATCATTTGTCAATAATTGCTAAGTGTGTCTCGATATCTCAAACTTTATATAAACCATCAAAATTATAGTTTATTTTTTACTTTTAAATAACTTATTTACAATCATATAAAACTAGTAACTATTGCTATTAATATATTTTTTAGGATTTATTTGATTTTTCTAGCGACTAGCATATTTATGCATATCTTGATTTTTCATCCGTATCCATGCGTATCCAAAGTGTATCCCGATACGTCTCTTAAAATTGTCTTTCTGATAGACCTTGCATTTCCAATACTTTAAACCTTGCTTCTCCCTCTTCCTTTTCACTTTGATTGAATTCTACTAGGAGAATTGGAGCTTTGATTTGCTATTGCTTTGTGTGGACTATCTTGGAAGCCAAACATTTGCAAGATTGAAAAAGAGAACCAAAGTAGTTTTCTTGACAGCGTATTGTGCAAATCAATCTTCACAAGGTATATAGTTTAAATTAATTTTTAAACTAGGGTTTTGTACACCACCACGGGTGTGATCTTGGTTTATCATGATTCTACATATTTTTTATTTTCTGCTGCAAAATAATTAAAAAACCACTAGAATATCTCAATAAATACAGAATGCATATTATACAAGGGTAAATATATTATAGGTCAACCCATCTCAAGTTGGTTTTTAATTCTATCTCAGGCTACTTGAGGCCTCAACCCAAGCCCAAACTAATTGAGGTTAAATCTGAATTTTCTAGCCAAGGCCCAGCCAACAGTGAAAATTCAAGGCCAACCCATGCAAAAGTTGCAATTTCAGTTGGGTCACGGCCTGAGTGCAAACCTACATAAAAGGCAATTGATCAATGTTGATCCCAGCTATATGGGATCTTGGGAGGGTTGAACCGGATTTTTTTTTTTTGATAAATGATAAAATTTTATTAATAAAGAAAGATTACATCAAGATTTACAAGACAAGCCATCCCAATAGGGATGCGAGGTACGACCCCCCATTCTACAACAACCCAAATTACAACTGAGCCAAAAATGGTTCAGACTTAAACACCCCCATCTTCGTAAAATAATCAGCCATCCCATTTGCAGACTGCCTTTCCCATTTCGCAAGAACTGTCATGTCTCTAACTAGCCATTTGAACTTTTTCATAGATTCATTGTACTTCCAACTCACTGTTTCTGGTTCCTTCAGCCACCCTATTATCAATTTAGAGTCACCTTCAATGAACAGTCTGTCAAAATTTAGCTGTCTACCAATCTGTACTGCTTGCAAGACTTCTTGGAACTCTGGAAAAACTGAGTCCCCTATTCCAACCGGGCCTGAGAATACAGCAACAATAAGTCCTTCATTATTCCTAAAAACCCCTCCTATACCAGCTGGACCTGGGTTCCCTAGGCTGCCGCCATCAAAGTTCAACTTGATAGAGCCTTTGTCAGGAGGTTCCCAAGCTACCACTGGTCTGTTCCTTGTGGTAGAACTTCTAGCTACAGCTCCCCAGTTTCTCCACAAGTCATCAACAGAGAAATCTGAGAACAAGTTTGAGGCTTTAACCGAATGTATAGCTCTATTAAGAATACACTCCCACATGCTTTCACACTCCTTTCTCTGTCACTGAAGAAGACTCTAACATTTCTCTCCTCCCACACCATCCATATCATAGCAGCCCTAAGGCATCTCCACATGACTTTACCCCTCTTCTTTGGCCAACTGAAGGTTGTGGAGTCAAAGAGATTTCCAATCTGCAGAGACACAATCCACCTATGACCAAAAAGATCAAAGACCTATTGGCATTTTTTTTGCACAAAGTGGCCTCTCTCAGACTTCAAACCACATTCTTATGCTTAATAGCCTGAGATCTTACCATTACTCCCAGTAATGGCCCTGAATGCAAACCTACATAATCCCATCAAATATGCAGTCTGACCTAACTTCTGCCAAAAACCAGCCGCAATATGTTGTAGCTATAACTGACTTTAGTTCTTACTGTTACCTTTTGGTTATGCAAACCATGCCTCTGATCATCTTGATAACAACAATAATGCCTTTTTGTTCAGTAAACAACAATGGTTTAACGAGTAATGACACAACAACAATAACAAAAGATTCTTACATTTCCATTGGAATCAGAAGTTGGATAAAGTTCCATTTGATTGTTTACAATTCTGGCATCATCATGAACTCTACTTGATACTTTGCTATCTTCTGAGTTCACAGGCTGGCTTTCATTCACAGGTTCAGAGACACTTTCCATCCGTACCTCCTGTTGTTATCTACATAAGTCAAATTTCTAAATGAAAAAAGCCAATATATTTTACATTCTAAATATAAATATAAATAAATGGTCACTTGATCTTGTTACTGATCAAAACAAAATAAATATTTGTTCAGAAGTTGTGATAGGCACCTCATTGTTACTCTTCCCTTTTAGTGAGATGCAAGTCAGATCTCTGCCACAATCAGGACTAGTGAGATCAGTTTTGGAAGAAGACATTCTTCCACTAGTAGAGACTGATTGACAAGAACAAAAATTTCTCTCCCCAGAGTGGAGTTGATATTCAGGGGCACTTTCTGGATCTTCATGTTCACAAATGTCTATGTCCTGGCTCATGTCAAGTGGAGGCTCAAATGCCTGCCAAGTGCAAATAAAAACAAAGATAGAATAATTAACAATACTTTCCAAACAGATGCTTATAGATTTTAGAGTAAGCCATTTCCCAATACAAAGCCATGTCATCAGAGAATACACCAGACGAATAAAAACATGAAAAAGCAAAATCATCTGAGCATCAAAGAGGGAAGAAAGTACAATAAAAAAAAATATAATATCAAAAAAAAAGAAAAGATAGAGATTCAGATCACCTGAAGCATGTTCAAGATGAAAAATGAATTTATAGATATACACCTGCAATGTAAAGATCCAACTGGTCATAATCCTCCAAGTTATATATTGTAAATCATATGATCAATTCTTTTTGATTGTCAGAAATCATAAAATCAGTTAGGTATGATTAAATTAGATAATTTTATAAAACGGGAAAACTACGAGGGGCTTCTTAGTTCAGAAAATTTTCCCCTCTTGTCAATCAGTTTAAAAATGACCACAAGCTCCCTCCTTTCTGAATTTATACATGAATATGCTAATCAAGAGAAAAAAATTAGTTTACCTTAGACAATATCATGTTTCAAATTGCAACATTAACATCAATTATATTATTCCCCAGAAACCATAGTTGTCAAGGCCACACCTAGGTGATAAGGCGCTCTTGGAGGGTCGCCTCGCCCAAACACCTAAAGATTTATATGCAAGACACCATATAATGATTTTTATATTTTTATTTTATGTTATTAATAGTAGTACAATAAATATTATTAGACTAAATTATTAATGCTGTAGTTTTATAGTACTAATATTATTAATCTTGTACTAGATTCTTTTTATTATTTTCTTATTTAGGTTCAATTGACACACATAGGGAACGTTTGATAATGACTGAAGTTGCTGAACTAAAAGAATTACTGCTTTGTCTTTTAATTGACAAAATAAATAAATAAATAATAAAACTTGCAAGGGTACAGTGATCAATACAATTCCGGTTTCAGCCACTAATCAACCCACAACCTCCTTAAAAACTTGTTCACTAAAAGACAAAGCAATAAGGATTTCAGTTCAGCATCTTCAGCTGTTTTTTTTTCTGATCAGTAGAAAGTAATTTTATTAATGCAAACTTAAAGGTTACAAGAAGGTGGATGTAAGGTCCACCCCAAACAACAAAAGTGCACAGATTTGCCCAAAATAAATGCCGTCTTAAAGCCCCTTGTTTGGCTAGAGTGTTTGTCATTCCCTTTGCTGTTCTTCTCACCCATTTAAAAGAAACATTTAGCTCCTTCATTAAGTTCTCAATCCCTAAATGTGTCAGAAAATCCAATGGATTTGGGTAGTGCATCTTGTCCAAGAGATGACCATCTAAGAGTCCACTTCCACCTCTAGATTATGGAAACCGAATTGTTTAGCAAACTTTAACCCCTGCAATAAGCTGACCATTTCTGCTGTCAGTGCATCACCATGCTCCAAGGATCCTGAATACAAAGCCACAACTCTTCCTTCTGAATTTCTGAAGACCCAACCAGTCCCATTATTGCCTATACCCCAGCCAGCACTATATTGCCTATAAAACTTCCATCAAAGTGGAGCTTTAGGAAGTTAGAAGCCAGGGGTTTCCATACCATAACTTGCCTTCCTTTTATTGAGCCAAGAGTGCTACCTCTTTCCAAGATCTCAAAATATCATTCAGTGAGAAGCCTCCAATGTTTTCACCCAGTGTGCAGCTTTTACTTTAATTGAATCAATAACTTCCACCTCAGTGCAGCTCTTATCATTGAAAATTCTTCAATTCCTTTCTTCCCAAATAGTCCAAACCGCAGCTGTCCTCATTGCTTTCCAAAGTAATCTTCCTCTTTTCTTTGGTTGTCTCAAGAAATTTGGATCAAAGAGGCCCAGCACATCCTGAGGAGTCCACCTACACCCGGATGGAGAACAAAGATGCTTCCAACCAAACAAGCTTCAAGCATGGCTAATGTACTTTTGATCTTTCCCACATCCTTCACAAACACCCCAGAAATCACCATCAACTCCTGTCACAAACAAGCTTTGCCATCAGTGCTGGAATGTTGGATGCCATCAACTCCTTCAACTATGGCCTTTGATCAAATAGGTAGGAGATGATGAAACACGTGTGATACCTCCAGGACTCTAACCGCAGCAGCCTTTCATTGTGCAGAAAGAAGTTTATTCTGTTAATGCTATTGTTACAAAAGACAGAATGCTAAAACTGCATTGAATAACAAATTTATCAGCTTAGCAAAAAGTATATTAATGGGGGCACTTGAGGTAGCACATTCTTTTTCTTGTTTCACCTATTGAAAAGAAGATTTAAGAGTTTGCCCATATTTCAATTCTTTTTTCTTTTATCACCTCGATGTATGTATTTTTTCTTTAATAAACTTTTTTATTTATTATCAGAAAAATATTTCCATATTACTAGATATCTCCTCAAAAAGTTCCATGTTCAATTCACATAAGTTTCAGCTCTCCTTTTTCTGACCAAAAAAAATGCTTTGATAACATCTACTCCATTAAATGCATGAAAAAAATTATGTTTAGAGAACATACCGTCTGAGTCTTTGAAATTTTAGAGGAAGATGGGACAAAAGAGCCTGCACAGGCATAAGAAATAATCCAACAATTTTAATAAATTATGGCAAATAAGTGCAAGCAATCTTCATGTTAATAAAGTAGTGGTTCATCCATCCAATATACCCCATAATTAGAAAGCATTAATATATGTAATGCCAACATTTTCCATATTCAGCAAGAAAGGATTATAATTTAAGAAATACTGCATTCTTTCAAAATAAATAAAAATAATATTACACACACCAATGAGAAAATAATCCTAATCAGATAAAAGAAAGCATCCTTTCAATCTGTAGTTTCCAAATCTGTTGTTAGTTCTATTGCTTTGAACTGATGGTAATGCCTTTTGGTGGATTTAATATTAACAGAAAGAAAAGGGTATGATCCGCCCTATCTCACACATTGTGTCTTCTTCTTAGTTTTTGCTCTTTCTGTTGGGCAATGCATGCCCTCAGAGTCCAATACTGTTGCATATGACTTTTATTACGAATAAAAAGATTTCTTGTTATAATCACGTTTGTCATGGAAATTGATTTCTAAATACATCCTTGATCTATATTTTAGGATTAATCCCAACCTTGAAAGGAACAAAGTCCAGAAATGCTTACTGAAAACTCATAATTCCCTCCCAAACACACACCCCATAGGATGATTTCACCTCCTTCGAATCCCACTCGAAATCCAACACTCCATACAAGCCACAACCTTCCTCCACAAAGAATTCCTTTCCACCCCAAACCTCCAAAAACATTTTCCTAATATTGCACTGTTACTCTCCTTATCCCAAAACTACCATCCTCTCTTTGCATCTTCTCAATTGCCTCTGCTACTAATGCTGGAATTTTGAGCAACAAAGATAAAACACCGAAAGATTTAGAAAGAGACGCTCTTTTATCAAAATGATTCTCCCACACAAGGATAAATATTTCCCCTTCCACCCCACAAGTCTTTGGTCCATTCTATCCAACACAGGCTGCCATGTTGCAAGGAGAGAAACTTTGGCCCCAATCAGTAAACCCAAATTGTTAAAGAAAACTCTCCCACCAAACATCCCAATGCAGCTGCACAATCTTCCAACAATGATTGAGAAATCCCTCCAACTCCAATCATAACACTGTTTTTTAAGTTGATTTTCTGACCAACCAGCACCTCAAAGTATTTAAGAATAGCCCTCAAATGAAGAACCTGATCAATTGAAACATCCAAGAAAATTAATGGGTCGTCTGCAAACTAAGGGTGAATAATGGGAAGTCCTTCCCTACCCACTTTAAACCTTCAATGATACTTGAATCCACTCCCTTAACCACCAATCCACTCAACACCTCTGCCACAATCACAAATGGAAAAGGAGAGAGGAATCTCCTTGTCTCAAGCCCCTCGAGGCCTGAAATAATTTTGTTGAGATGCCATTTACTAGAATGGAAAAAGATGCTGAAGCAATACACGCAAACCATAGTTTTCAAGGCGTATAGGCAATAGGCAAAACTAGAGTGCCTAGTCGCTAGGCGACAATAATTTTATAATATAGAAGACTAACTTTTGGCTAGTTCCCTAGTTTTATATACCATTTAGCATGTATATTAATTGAAAAAAAATAGCAATTCTCTTTATTAAGAACATTAAATTTCTTCTAAAAATGTGGCAAATCATCACATCTAAAAGATAAAAATCTTTTACATATATTAATTTCATTATTTTCAAAAATAATACCACTATAATAAGTATTTAATAGAGCAATTTCATATCAATTAGCTGCTAAAGAAGGTCATTAACTTTATATGATAAATATTCAAGATGGAAAGTAAAATAGAAAAAACATGAATGGAATTTTTGTTTCATTAAATGAACCTCTTTATATTTCTATTCTTTCTTTCTTTCTTTTTGTCTCCATAAAACCCTTTGATCTTTTAAATTTCAATAGTAAAACATTAAAACAAAGTAAATGATATATATATAGCACATAATAAAATGCATAACACATATATTAATAAGATACAGCAATACAAATGATATCATATAAGGTGCCCATTTTTGCCGCCTAGGCAGGCACCTAGTTAAATATAAGATACAGCAATATAAATGATAAATGGGTTGGTGGTTGATTTTTTCAAGCCATTAGAGGTCTAAGACAAGGTGACCTCCTTTCCCCTTTCTTTTTCACTTTGGTGGCAGAGGTTCTTAGTAGACTGATATCTAAATCTAGTCAATTGTACTTGTTTAAAGGATGGGTGGCGGGGAGAGAAAGAGTGTTGGTCACTCATCTTCAGTTTGTGGATGACATATTGATTTTTTGTGATGGGGAGAGCAGAGATGGGGTTGAAAACTTGAAATTGGTGGTGTATCTCTTTGAAAGAATGTCTAATCTAAAGGTCAACTAGAGCAAGAGTTTGGTGGTTGGTATAAATGTTGAAGAGGAACTAGGCTCCTTGGCTGAGACTCTAAGGTGTGAGAGAAGGGAGTGGCCATTAAAATATTTAGGATTACCTCAAGCGGCAACCCAAGGTCTATTAGCTTTTGGAATGGTGTGGAGAGGATAGAGAAAAAGATTAGCTAGTGGAAAAGGACCTATATTTCATTAGCTGGGAAAATCCCTTTGATAAAATCATTCTTCATTTTTACCACTTTTTCCCATCTAACCAAGTTATCTTTCTTCCCTTCCCCCCCAATTCCTAGAGAAAATCTCTCATAATCTTTTTAAATTTTTTTCACAATTACCTGAGGCATCCTAAAGACAGACAAATGGTATGCTAGAAGATTAGCCAAAGTAGATTTGATCATAGTAATTCTCCCTCCCAAAGAAATACAATTTCTTTTCCACACAGTAAGTCTTTCTCAAACCTTTCCACCACTAGATTCTAGAAGCTTCAAAGTAAATCTCCCTCCCAGAGAAATATAATTTCTTTTCCACGCAACAAGTCTTTTCTCAAACCTTTCCACCACTGGATTCTAGAAGCTAGCTGATATAGGGTTATCACCTAAAGGTAATCCTTAAGTATCTCAAAGGCCATTCCCCTCTCTCAAACCCTAAAGATTCTACCATAGTCCTTAACTCCTCTTCCTCAACGTTGACACCAACCACTAAGCTTTTATTCCAATCATAGTTGTCAAGGCAACGCCTAGGCGACAAGGTGCCCTTGGAGGCTCGCCTCGCCCAGTTGTTAGGATCTAATCAACACAAACATTGCTAACTGCTGATTGAATCCTCAATGACTTCAAAATCTGAACCAATAAGGGAAGAACTTAAAATTTTGTCTAATCAGCACATTTCTTCTTCTTCTTATTCCACATTTTCTTTTCTTCTTTTCCTATAACAAAAATAGGGGTCCAACCCCTATATTTTTTTAATTTTCTTTCCTTTCTTCTTTTACTTCTCATAAATATGTTGACTTTCTAGACTTAAACATTTAGTTTATAATTTTCTTGTGAAAATTATGGATAGTTATTAAAGAAAGTTGGTTATGGAACCTAGGGAACTACCCTAGGATATGTGATTTTTACTTAAAAAAATCCATCGCCTAGGCGACTAGGCGACAAGGTGCCCCCCTGTCACCTAGCCTCGCCTTGACGCCTTGAAAACTATGATTCCAATTTATCCTTACATTGGACACTCTCTCAAAAAGATCCACTACCAGTTTCAACTCAAGTTTTCAACCCCACTTCTATGCTCCCCATCACAAAAATTTAAGATATCATCAGCAAACTGAAGAAGAGTCACTAAGATTCTATCTTCCCCCACTAACCAATCATTTAATAGTAATTAGCTCTAGAAATCAACTCTTAGGACCTCAACCACCAAGATAAAGACAAAGGAGACAGAAGATCACCTTGTCTCAGGCCTCTAATCCTCTCAAAAAAATCAACCACCAAGCCATTAACAATTATTGAGAAATGACTTGTTTGCAAACAACTTCTGTTCCACTTACACCACAATTCCCCAAATCCATAGCTCTTCATAATATTGTGAACAGTCACATTGATATATTATATCACTGTAGTTCATGTTGTATTGTATCACTTATTTTTTTCTTGTTATTTTCTTCTTTAGCCCTGGGGTGGGGTCGATTAATTCAGTTTTCAGCCCAGAATTCTGTCTTCTCTTCTCTTCTGTGGTACGAACAGCTTGTTTGACATGGTATCAGAGCAGGCTGTTCTATAATCTGTACATGCTCCATGCTCACTCATTAGTCTCTCAAGGGCTGCTGATTCCTGGGTGCTTAAACTGAAGATAGGGCTGTACTGATCAACCCTAACCCTAGCTCTCTGTTCTGCAATTTCAGCAAGAAAAGTCTTCCTAGAACTCTCTTGGAAAGCATCTGTTTGGAGAGAAGCTTGACTGGTTGTGTCGCCCAGCCCAGTTTTACTCAGAAAATCTCTTTGAGATTGGACAAGTTTTGGAGGCGTTTTGATCTTCTCTCCAGGGCAGCAGCAGCAGCTTTCTTCTTCTTTTTGTGGACTAGTTCATTCCCAAATAGCCATACAAACTTCGAACATTAAACTTTTGGTTGTTTTTGCTTCAGACTGAGTTTCAATAGATTTACTACATTCGTCTTCAAGCTGCTCATCTGAAATCTCTTGGTGGCCGACTTGAACTGCACAAAGTAATTCCCTCTCTGGAAAGCTTCTCATATCAGGTTGGTGAATCTCTCTGTTTTCTCGACCGACTATTATTTATCCTTGGAACCCTAGTTTTTGTGCTGCCCCAGGGTATCTTCACCATTCAGTTACTGGATAGGAGTTTGTAATCTGTTCTGGAGGGTATTTAATCCTCTCCCCAGTTCAGCAGTCCTGAAACACTCGGGTGTGAACCCTCAACACAGCACACAATCTAGTTGGTGTTGTTCCGGGTTGTTTCTTGGAAGATTTTGATTCCTATATAGAGTGGCATATCTCTGCAGAAGTTGTTCGACCATATATTTCTCCTGGACCAGATTTCATTGCTGTTTGTCTGCATTACTTACTTCAGCCTTGATATTAAAACCTTTTTTTCTGAGAAAGTTCTGTGTTTGGTTGTTGTGATACT